CTTCATGGTCAGGCCCCCAAATACATCCTGGACCTTCTGAAGCCTCTCTGTCCATCCAGGACTCTGAGGTCTTCTAATGGTGGTCCAGGTGGTCCCTGGAACCCATTATAAAATCAGTGGAGACAAAGTTTTTCAGGTGGTGGCCCCGAGGCTCTGGAACGCTCTCCCTCTGTCCCTTCACTGCTCAGATTCTACTGATTCTTTTAAGAAACATCTTAAGACATTTTTATTCAGACAGGCTTTTAGTTAAGTGCTTTTTATTGTATTTTAATTGTTGTTTTTTATATGTGTGATCTGTTTTGTTATTTTTAATTATTTTTGCTTTCTGTGAAGCACTTCGTGATGTTTGTCTGTGAAAGGTGCTATAGAAATAAAGTTTATTTACTTACTTACAGATCTGGGAGTCTGTGCTTATACATTTCAAGGAGAAAATTACATACAAGTAAGGTTAAAGCAAAGATAAGAAAAACAAGCTAGTGGGGACAGGTTTATGTTTTAAGGTCAATAGCATAATCTCTATTATCGCCAACAGTTTCCTTTTTTATAACAGAAACTATCACTCTTCTTGTGTCAAAAACTAAAAGTTGGACCAGTGCCCTTCAAAACCTTGTCAGTGCCCATCAGTGTCCAGGCTCTCACCGGGCTCCTGTTTCAGAGCTGGTAGAGAATGCCTGTGGTTCAGTTTGGTAATGGATCTAAGCGTGATTCTGGCACAAAGCCAAGGCCTCAGGAAAGCAATCTGAGACATGGTCTGGGCTGGCTAGAGGCCTTCCTAAATCCTTTAGGAGTGCCATGGATGGAGTGGCTRGGAATGTGCCAAAATATCATGGAGGTAGGAGAGGATATTAAACATTAAATATTATCAAACACAATAGCTACATGACTCCCTTTTATGATCAAGTTTGAATTCATAAATAGCAAGAAATCTATGAATARACKACTTAGTACATAGTATTTTACCAGTAAAGATGACTCTAGTGTACTTACATATTGTGCAGAACACACCAGCCACAGTGGGGATCTCCTGATCCAAGACATTCACTGCAGGTTGTGTACTGTCCACAGGCCTCCACTGGTACCCTCGACAGCTGTGAAGACACATACAGCATATTAAACAAAACACACTGCACAGGTAGTGCACTTTAAGCAAAGAAGCACCACAAAATAGAAAACAATAACAAAAYCATTAACACATACAATAATTATGAACATTCCAATAAATAGGTGTTCAGAGATGAGAAAGAAAAGTGGCAAAAATATAGTAAATAAAATAGTAAATAATTACTGAAGAGCCCTTGCAATGTGTTTGTTTTAATAATACAATTTGTGCATACGCAARCTCAACAGATAATTCAAGTTTTTTAAGGAAATGAGATGAAAGTTACTAATACTTTTTGGAGTCATGAAAAAGTGCAAAACCCAAACCAAGCAACCAACCAAACATGCAAATTACTTTGCAACACAGCATATTTGTAAGAACATGTCGATGCCTGACAGTTTTCATCTTTCTTCTATCCAGCTGCTTCAAGAAATTTGGCCACTTGGGATTAGCAGCCCTTCAATGATGATATATGGCCCTGCCAATTCAAACTGGCATTGACTGGCACTGATTGGCATGAGCATTAAGTAACTGAGTACAAGGGGCAAAACTGAGGTGGATCTCAGCTGTCCCACTCTTCCTGTCACCATGGCAACAGCATCCTACTGGCACTTTTGATTAATGAGCCATCATTGGTGAATGACTGCCGTCACTCCCACTGCTTCGTGACAGGCAAGATAGAGAGATGACATCACCAATGTGGGACTGATCTGGTCAGGGTAATAGTTTTTGAAAGGTTTTGTATGTGTGTTACTGTCCCACTGCTAATGGGAATATAAGAATTTTGCTTTCAGATTAGGACAAAAATAAAATGATTCTCATATTTTTGTTTGAAACATTTAGATATTAGGGCTGCATAATATAAAAAAGATGTAATGTGCATTGTTGTTAAATAATGCAATGACAATATTCCTTATAATAAAACATCAATTTTAATCGCTTATGTCATCATTATATCTAAGCCAAGGGCTGGCATCAAGACCAATGAGTGTGTTGGACTGACCAAATATGACAGAACATGCATACAGTGTTGTATAAAGTACCGAAAAAGTGATACTTCAGTAAAAATACAAGTATCTTACCAAAAAATTACTTTGGTAAAAGTTAAAGTCTCCTTTTAGGAATATTACTTGAGTAAAAGTCAAAGTATCTGACATTTTTTGTACTTAAGTATTAAAAGTAAAATTATTGATTTAAATTGAGCGGTTAGATTTTATGGAATGACATTTATTAGGAGGTGACCTCCCAAAAAAATGCTGAAATGACTATTTTGTATTAAAATAAATAATTTATGTAAAATTTAGGATGCACTAGTCTTACTGTTTCAGTTTATAAACATATATCAAGGCTGCCCAAACCTTTTCCCCAAAATGAAACTATATCTGAGGGCTGCGGCCAAATGTAATGATTTAATTCATGAAATACAAATACTTCTTAAGTACAGTCCTTTTATTTTAATGATTATGTCCTGCTGTGACATAATCACATGAGTGTGACATGATTTGTTTGTGTACAAACTACTACCGCATCAGAGTTTTATATATTTATACATCTCAATCAACCAAAGCTAAATTCACTCTATCTACGAGGCACAATTAATATGGATAGTATTTATTTTTTTACAATAACAAGCTGGAAAGAAAACAAGCAAAAATGAAACAAAAGTAACGACTTTCTACTTCTTGTCTTTTTTTAAAAAATGTAAGAAGTAGAACGTAAAGATATTTTGTGAAAATGTAAGAAGTAGAAGTAAAAAGTAGGCTGAAAAATAATTACTCAATAAAGTACAGATACCCAAATATTCTACTTAAGTACAGTAACAATGTATTTGTCCTTAGTTACTTTACAACTCTGGGTACTTATATTGGTTGAGCTAAGATTTATAGCAGCCAAAACGGTCCTTTGTGATTTTGTACTCACTGGCTATGCAATGACCATACATTTTCTAGACATCATGCAGCCCTAATATCTATCAAAATTTAATATGAATCCTAATGCGGATGATGTTTTACTTTTCCTTAAGCGCTCGGAAAATTCAATATCTAGTTATTGAATTAATAAACTCTTTTTCAAAAGTTTCTGACTACTCTATAAATTGGTTAAAATCTACAGTTCTTCCAATTAACTTTGTTTTTAACAATTCTTTAAACACACAACTACAGTTAGGAAATATTAAATATCTGAGTGTTAATATTTCTTCTAGATTGGAAGATTTAATAAAATTAAAGCACATTCCTCTTTTAAAGAAAATTGAAGAAGATCCTACTAGGTGGAGTTCTCTACCCATATCYCTCATGGGAAGAGTTGCCTCTATTAAAATGATGGTTCTACCGAGAATAAATTATTTATTCTCAATGATACCAAATAAAGCTTCAACTGACTGGTTTAAATCACTGGACTCCTTCATTTCTAAATTCCTGTGGAAAAACAAAACTCCTCGTATTAGCCTAAAATCATTACAG